ATCTTGGACTATATTTTGAGAGGATTAGTTTTGGCTTTTCATGAGTCGGAGTTAGATTAAATAGGTCAAGGACAGTGATGATCCAGGCTCTCTCTCTATTTGCTCTCTCTCTCTGTAGTCTCTCTCTGTAGTCTCTCTCTCTCTCTGGTTTCTCTCTCTCTGTAGTCTCTCTCTGGTCTCTCTATGGTCTCTCTCTGTAGTCTCTCTCTGGTCTCTCCTTCTGTAGTCTCTCACTGGTCTCTCTGTAGTCTCTCTCTGTAGTCTCTCTCGCTCTCCAGAATCTCTACTCTCTCTGGTCTCTCTCTACTCTCTCACTCTCTGGTCTCTCTCTCTCTAGTCTCTCTCTCTCTCTGTAGTCTCTCTCTAGTCTCTCTCTCTCTGTAGTCTCTCAAGCTCTCTACTCTCTCTCTGGTCCCTCTTTGTAGTCTCTCTCTCTCTCTCTACTTACTCTCTGTCTGTAGTCTTTCTCTCTAGTCTCTCTCGCTCTCCAGAATCTCTCTACTCTCTCTGGTCTCTCTCTGGTCTCTCTCTATCTAGTTGTTGCTGCTGATGCAACAGGCTCGAAGGACAGTGATAATCCAGGCTCTCTCTCTATTCGCTCTCTCTTTTGTCTCTCTCTACTATCTCTAGTCTCTCTCTTACTCTCTTGTCTCTCTCGCTGTAGTTTCTCTCTAGTCTCTCTCTCTGTTGTCTCTCCCTCTCTCTCTACTCTATCTCTGGTCCCTCTCTTTGTAGTCTCTCTCTGGTCCCTCTCTTTGTAGTCTCTCTCTGGTCCCTCTCTCTGTAGTCTCTCTCTGGTCCCTCTCTCTGTAGTCTCTCTCTGGTCCCTCTCTTTGTAGTCTCTCTCTGGTCCCTCACTTTGTAGTCTCTCTCTTGTGGAATAAAAACCTTCCTTTACCCATTTTCTGCCAAACATTTGCATTTACAGCCCCATACCACTTTTCTGATCACAGATTGGGCCGAATACATCGCCAATGCCCGAAAAAGGACAGAATTGGATCTATCTCTGTCCAACGAAAAACATCCCCAACACCTTTTCTTTTCTAATCGAATTCCAGCAGCTCAACCAGAACTAAACAGCGATTTTAATGGACTCTCGGTTAGATCCATTTCACGCCCGGCTTTTGAGTGTCCCGCGTTATAGCTGTGATTTGTGCGGCTTTACTTACATTTGTGAAGAAGAAGACTGTAATCAGTGACAAACAGAGTCCCCAGGGCGCTGTGCTGGTCTCCCCCCACCTGTCCCATCTCCCCCTCCCCCACCACCGCGACTCAAAGTCAATCAATAAAAGACAATTATCTTTATTGTTTTGTAGAAGCATCCATCTCCGAGCTGCCGTTTGATTCAGGGCTAAGAGCATTGATTACAAAAGGCCACGCCGCCATTGAGAGAATTTACGCTCCTGAAATGGAATCTTATGAGGCTGTTTTTTCTTTCAGATTTGGTTGAAAATGTAGCGACAAACGGTTTTCGAGGGGGAAAAGGCCGATTACGGGGTTCGATCTGGGCTGTGGCCTGTGCAAATGTGTCCGTATGGTCAGGCTTGGGCACACGGGGAATCTATAAAGCACTTTGACAAATGGGGTGTGAGCGGGAGTGACTTAATCAGGATGTTTTTATAGTTTTTATGGACGCCACGGGAAAGAACCAGATTCATGGGCGGGTACACTGTAGATTGATCCTTCGAAATGCAAATAAACGGCTTATATACAGTAAGGCCCCGTGTTATGAACAGAAACAACCAGGTCCTTATGCAAATTTCACAGCGTTCATACGAGGATCAAAAACGATGAAGTTCTAGCGCCCGGCCAGTAGGGGGCAGAGGAACTTTACAACATGACACATGTGTTGTGGGTTTTACTTCCCGTCTGTCCTTTTGATAGTTTGCCCTGATGTGTGTCCATTGTTGTTTTTTTTCCCATGTCTTGTTCCTGGTTTCAGTTTTTACTTTTTTGTGGCATTTGTTGAATTAAATTGATTTGCATTTCTGCTTTTGGGTACTTCTTTGTTTTATCCGTGACAGACATTCTCTTTGTGCACAGGAGAAACTCTAGAATATGATCTTGAATCTTATGGTTTTAGCGTGAAACTGATAGCTGTATTCTGTCATTATTCTCCATAATCGCCTTGGGGTTTTCAGATTATCATTAACCTTTTTGAAATTCTGTTTATTGAATTCTGTTTAGATTGAGTCCTGTAAAAGTTAAATTTGGTGAAAAATCAGACCACAACATATATTAGAAAACATAAGTTGCATACTTGTAACTTGTAAGGGCTGAGATCTGATTGGCTGAAGTGAGATTGGTCCTACTTTTTCAGTCTGTCCTTCATTCTGACTAAATACACCGATCTAAATCTGTGACAGAGGCCAAAAGACTAGAGATGGGACTTACAGACTTTTACATGTTTAACTTATTTGGTTTGAAAGTTAGGTACCCCGGCTTTAGTCCAACAAAAACTCGTTTAAACGCCACAGCCCGGGACGCTCTTGCTAAAATAAGCTTTTGCTCTTCGTCTGCTCAGAGAGTGTGACCCACTATTGCGGCTAATTAGCTCAAATCAAATTAATGCACAAAAGATAAAAATCAATTTCTGCTACTTTCTTTGGGGCTCGGGAGAATCACTCGAGTTCTCTGCCAAATGAGGGACGACATTCATAATATAGAATTCAGTCTGGCCGTTAATCTCCATAGGATCCTATCAAAGATTCATGATGGAGGCTAAAGAGTGGATGGTATTTTAATTAAAGGCACACATCTGAAAGTCCGCGTCGCTACCTGCTGCTTCAGCCTCCGCTCCAGAGTTTGTCGAGACTGGCTGGCTGGCTTTTTCTTTTCATTTCATTTCAATTTCCAAATGAATTTCGTTCTTTCATCTCTGTCTTATTAGTGGAACAATTCTGTAGCCGCAATTTCAACTTTGCAATGTGTGTGTTTTAAAAAAGGGGAAAAGAAAAAATGAGTTTTGTTCAAGTGGCGCAGGCTAGTTTATGTTGGCGCTCACATTCTCGGGTAAAATCAATCCTGGAAGTTTCCCACTGAGCGGCTCCAAAGATTGTGTTCTGGGGCCAATAATGGAGCCTCATGGATTACAGTGAGTGGAGGAAGCAAGCAAGTTTATTGATAAAGCACAATTTATACCCAATGTGTTTAACTAGGGATACCTACACTGAAAAAGTAAAGTCTTGGTAAGATTTATTGACCAAAAATAACATTAATTACGCTTATTTTTTAATGTTTTTTTTTTTTTTTGCTTGAATGTAGTTTGTCAAGGAAGATATTTTACTAGTTTTAAGATTCTTCATAATCTTATTAGAGAAAAGAAACATTTTTCACACAACTTTTCTTGTTGTTTAGATAAAATAAGTTTGCTTTGCTGTATTTTAAGAAAACACATCTCAATTTTTTTTTAAGAAATCAGTAAATAATACTTGAAATGTATGTTTTTATGAAAGAATCCAGTCGTTTGGGGCTAGTAATATTTTCTTATTTTCAGAAATCTTGTCAAGTCATATATTCTTGTTCTATTGGCAGATATTTTTTCTAATTTTAAGTATTATTTTACATAAGAAGTAAATAAAAAATCCATTCTGTTTTTAAAAATGTCTATATTCAACCATAGACTGGATGAACAGGTCGCTGTCACCATAGTCTTACCCCTAATGCAGAAGAGGCCGGTTTGAGCTAGCTACAAACAGGCTACTCTAGCGGGCATATGGAGCCAACTGTTATAAGTAGTGTTACGACCCGGCTCAGCTAGGTGTGAGGAAGTAACAAAATAACCAAGATGGTAGAATGGTAACTAAAATCATGATTTATTTAGGTGACAAAGTAGGTAAAACAAAATAGGATTAATATCTACATAACACACAGTAAATAAATAACCTATTAAAACAAGTAAGCAATTGACAAAACCAAAAGTGTAACCTAAACTAAAGTGTCTCAACATAAACTAAACGAGTCACTGAACTAAGGTACCGGCACAAGTGACAGAACACAGACAAAACTAATGGCGACCTGGAGTCCACTGACTCCAGCTGCCCCGAGCCGCAGAAGATTGTCAGTTTATAAGGGCGGGTCCTCCAGGTGACGCTGATTGGAGGCCTGCCTCAGCTGCTGCCCAATCAGCACCCAGGCATCGCAGTCAATCAGCTCCAGGTGGGGAATGACTGGCCAATAGGAGCCCAGGACTCACGAGCGTGATCTTCTGAAAAAAAGGGAGGAAACACAACCACACAGAGACACCACGGGAGAAACTAAAGTGACCCCCAAAATAGGGAATTACGGGCCGTGGGCCGTAACAGTAGCAAAAGCCAAATTCTCTCAGGACGCATACGAAAGATGTAGATGTAATTTTGAGAAAAATATTGCAAAGTATTCCGCCGGTAAAATGGCGCCGTGGCAAGAGCTTCTGGTGTGTTCTATCTGGTGCTCACTGTGGTAGTCTTGCACAGTTTTCCCAATGAGGTTTTATTGCAAATGGCAAATAAAGTCTTGAATCTTGAGCTGACTCTAACAGATCTTAAAAAGTACCCCACAATACTGGTATAGTCCGGTTGGCGCCTGTTTAGTCAACACCGATACTGAGAGGATGAGAAGACTTTCCCGAAGCAGTAAGACTGAACCAGGCCTCACTCTGTTGATCTGTGACTGTGTTTGTGTGTCCTGAAAACTGAACTGAACTTCTGCTGGAGACACATGAGAATTTCACTGCATTTATTATAAGATATGATAAGATCAACTTTACTGATCTCACAATGGAGAGATTTACATGTCACATTCAGCATAAGGATCACTCAGGGTGCGCAAAAATACAGAAAATGTGTAAAAATCTAAGTAAAAATATGTATGTGACAACAATACCAAATAACCTTGACAACAGGCTACATTTTCACCAGTTTGTCTGACCTTGACCCAGCCGCTCTGGTCATATCTTTATAAATATGAACTGCCTTGAGTTTCATGTGTTTAGCATCTTTCACGTCTTCCCGCCCACAGCCATGGCCTGTTTCTCTGTTCGAGCTCGTCCGCCGTGTCCCACTGAACCTCCTCCCCCTTTCATCTGCCTCTTTCGTTATCTTCCCCCGGATCAGGAGCAGGAGGAATCCAGGACGCCCTTCCAGAGAGGTGAAGACATTTTGGGAGGATGAAGAGAGAGGAGGGGAGGGGAGGAGGAGAGAGGAGGGGAGGAGGAGAGAGAGGAGGAGAGGGGAGCGGAGGAGAGGAGGAGGGGAGGAGAGGAGGAGGGGAGGAGGAGAGAGAGGAGGAGAGAGAGGAGGAGGAGGGGGGAGGAGGGGAGGAGGGGGAGGAGGAGAGAGAGGAGAGAGAGAGGAGGAGGAGGGGAGGAGGGGAGGAGGAGAGAGAGGAGGAGGGGAGGAGGGGAGGAGGAGGGGAGGAGGGGAGAGAGGAGGAGAGAGAGAGAGGAGGAGGGGAGGAGGGGAGGAGGAGAGAGAGGAGGAGAGAGAGGAGGAGGAGGGGAGGAGGAGAGAGAGGAGGAGAGGGGAGCGGAGGAGAGGAGGAGGGGAGGAGAGGAGGAGGGGAGGAGGAGAGAGAGGAGGAGAGAGAGGAGGAGGTGGGGAGGAGGAGAGAGAGGAGGAGGGGAGGAGGAGGGGAGGAGGAGAGAGAGGAGGAGGGGAGGAGGAGGGGGAGGAGGGGAGGAGGAGAGAGAGGAGGAGGGGAGGAGGGGAGGAGGAGGGGAGGAGGGAGGAGGGGAGGAGGGAGGAGGGGAGGGGCCCCGGCTGATAAAACAGAGAAATGGGATGCGAAGGAGAGCGAGGGCAGCAGCAAGGACGAGATTAGAACCAAGCAGGGCACGATGGAGAAGAGACTGGACTGGTTCTCTGACAGAGGCGTTCAGGAGGTGGAGGTGTCCGCTAAAACCACGCAGAGTTTGTGGCAGTGTAATTGCGGTGGCTGCTGTGGTGTCTCGAAGCAAGACGTTTCATCCATCACACAGCCCCGGTGAACGTCCGGAGCTGGCTGTGTTTGTGGACGGAGGTGGCGAGTGCAATTGAAGTTAGTTTCTTGTTTTCTGGCGATGTGACGTGCTTATTATTGCAGAGGTTATAGGCTTTGGGTCGGGGAGGGAAAGATTTGTGAGGATTTGTACCTAACTTTTTATGTCATGTATAAAACATTAATAGTGTGGAATATGGTCTCCACAAAATGGACTTGGGACACACACAAGACATAATATTCAGTCATGTATGTGATGTTTGGACTAGCACCTGTGGGTTGGCGTCTGTTGTTCTGATGCAAATGTTAGCAAAAAAAAGGCTTGCTCTGCCTAAAAAAAAGTGTAAAACTGAGAATAAAACTTCCAGACCTAAACATTCCCCTCTAAAATCTTTCATTTTGGGCCATAGTAAATAAAGTAAATAGAATAATCGTTGAATTAGCTTTTTACCAACTAGTTTTTGAAAAGCCAGATCAATTTTAGTGTCATACAAATGTAGTTTCATCCCTTATTGAGGAAATTCTTTCAACATTTACTGTCAATAACAAAATATTAGGAAATTGTAGCTACAAGAATACACTTTTTTGGCGTTTTTTTCAAAACTGGTACATCTGTGGCCACAGCTGTCCCCGGGCACACAGACAGAAGTTGGTAACCATTGGTTCCACCGAACACCACCAACCATTCACACACACCAGATCATTCTAGGCAATGTGGGTGAGTGTCTTTCCCAAGTACACAATAACACTTCTGCACTTTACATCCGCAACCGCCCCACTGTGGCACCTGGTGTCTCCCACCACAGTCATAACCAGGCCCTGACCTGCTTAGCTTCAGAGGCCTGACTGGATCTGGCTTTCACCTGCAGGTACACATGTTTTACCACTGTTTCACCACATACTTTTCACATTTTTCATGTAATTAAATATCATTATATAGTCTAAAGAACAAAAACATTACGCAATAATTCTTCTTTAAAAACAATCAAAACAGGTGTAATTGAGCCTTATGAAGTTTCAGTATTTTCTGTTTTTTTTTTTTTTGCCGGCAGCGTGACGGCAGATACAAACGAGGAGATGAAGAGGTGGGAGGCTCCTGGCTGCTCGCTCGTGTTGTCCTGAAGTATAAGTTTAGTTTGAGGCTCTGGCCGAGGTCCCAGCAGCAGTGGGAGGGATCCAACACCTCCTCCTGAAGTCAAAATGCCAGCCCTCCCTCCTCACTCCTGTCCCCCTCCACACACACGGCCAAAGAACAGACTTTTTTATCCACCGAGGCACGGACGAGGCATGGACGAGGCATGGACGAGGCAGGAGCGCAGATGGGCGAGTGTGAACTTCATCAAATGAGAATAAAATAAGACAGTTTTTGCTCCGTGGTTGTAGAAATGTGTTTGGAAATGATGTCATGTTGTGCCTACGGATCCATGTGAACTTCCAAGATTTGCCGAGTCTGGAAATTCTACGATTTTAGTGCTTTTAGACGTGACTGTTGCACGCTGTGGACTGTGCAACTCAAAAGGACCTCCCTGGACTGGTTTTGATGGTACCTGTCGGGCGGTCACACTCTCAGGCTGGGGAACTCCACCTCTGGCCCTTTGCACTGTGGAGTTCCCCAGGGCATCATTCTTGGCCCTTTGCTTTTTGCCCTGTACCTCCTTCCGCTTATTGATATTTCTAAAAAAACATGGAATGTGTATCATTTTTGTTTTCAATTCTGTCAACAATTCAATTCAAAATAATGGATATTTTGGAATCAGCTGGCCCCTTACAATAATGGTTTGTACATATATACAGCAATAAGGTCTTGAGTTTAAGTCCGTCACAGACATTGAGTTTGCGAGTTACTCTCCGTGTCCACAGGCTGCACATCCCCTAACCCTGAACTAGTGCTGGTTTCAAAGTGACTGCAAAACATGAAAACAGAAAGAAATCCACACAGCTATGTTTCTTCCAAGTTTCTTTTATTTAAAGACCATGAAGTGATGTTTTGGACTCAAACAAATAATTTTACATAATTAGTCTAAGAAGACGCTCTTCAAGGTGTTAGTGAGGATTGACTCAATTTTTAGGAAAGAACCGCCCTCTCCACTCTTTGCACAAAACTCTCTGGTCTTATTTGTCAAACACATATAACCAGAATGACTAACCCTAACCCAGAACTCTGTTAAAAGGGGCCAATGTACAATTGTTTTGCTTCTGTCTACTGCTTTTGAGCCCTCAGTATTATAATCTGTCTGTGATATATGTATTTGTCCAAGCACTAATAAACAGAACTAAACTGAACTGAACTGAACTGAACCTCCAGCAGTTGGTCCTGGAGCTGAAACCAGACCACAGTGCGACTCCGAAGCCACTGCGGTCCATAATAAAGACACATCAGCCACATTCCGTGTCATGATAGATTACCTACTTCCCCGCTGTTTGTCTCCATTTTGCCACACACTGAAGCCGAGACTGCGGTGGACCAGTGGGAGCTGTACAAATGAGCTGAGGAGTGGCAGAGGAGACTGGGAAAACACATCTGCTCGAGCACACTCCGCAGACTAACAGGTGGCATCATGTCTCAAACATCAAAAACCTCTCCTCACACCCACACACAGATATTGATGGAGCTGTCACCCAACACTGCAGGTCTCCTCTGACTCCCTCACATGCTGCTTCAGTGACTTATCGCAGGTAAATATGAGAATCTGGATGTTTTATGCAGAGGAGAAACAACAAGATGTATTCGATAACAAACTACATTGCCACTCAAAAGTTAAGGCTCTGTAAAAGGAAAACCTGTTTGTCAATAAGTCAGACATAATCATGAAAGCTTAAGCGTAACTTCAGACTGGTAGACTACTCATGCACGTAGTCTACTCAGCAAGAAGGTCCTGGGATTGAATCCCGGTCGGAATAGGAAATCTGTAATATAATAAAATAAAATGAATAATAATCTGGTGCAAAACATGTGCCTGTACACTGTCGCCTCATTAAAATGAACTCTAACTATAATGCAACCAGCCTCCGAAGTGAATGACAACCCAGACATACATGTAGGGAAACATGTCACCATATGATTATTGTAGATATTTACTGACGCCAACAACAGTACTGATAATAAACCTAATACGCCCATCGAAGATATACTGCCGCATTCTCATTGTAAACAAAACAAACAACAGATCTGACCATTTTATAAAACACATTTCTATATTGAGCTGTTCAAATTGTGCGTCAGATTTCACTTGAGAAAGGCACCGCACTCCTGGGGCTCATACCTACACTCAGTGGCCATATATTCATTCCTCTAATGCCCCTAAAGCTATATATACTTATGTCATCCCAAAACGAATGATGGGTCTTTAGGGTGAAAGCAAAGACTGTGTGGTCATGAATGGGACTCCAGAGTTTTCAAAGAGTGTGAAGACCGGACCATGGGCGATTAATGGGATCTGATACAGAGCTGCCGGCCCCTGCCAAAGTACAGCTGGACCAGACATCAATTCAAAAAGCTTTATTTATCCCCATGGGGCAATTAAAAAGTTACAGAATACATTAAAAAGCCACAATACAAAACAAAACACACACTCATACTTAAAGGCATATGAGAGGTGGGACAGCCTTTAAATCAAGTCTATATTTAATACATTATGGGACACCAAGGCGGGATACCCAGGTGTCAGTGACATGGAGGAGGTTCTGGGATAAGGTAAGTTCTAAAAAATATACTTCTAATGTTTTGCAAATACAGTGTCCTCTTCCTTTTGCTCTGGTAATATTTTCAGTTGTGTGATTTTGTGTATAACTGTCGAAACTCGGTACGTTGTTTGCACAATCGCTTTTCAGCAAGAAGGTCCTGGGTTTGAATCCCAGTCATAGTAACAAGGTTTTTCTGAGTGGAGTGAGTTTGCATGTCCTGCCCGTATTTCTTTCGGATGCATCGGTTTCTCCTAAAAACATGTAAAATAGGTACAAATCCTCCAGATCCGGTCCTGATCAAATGTGTCCTCTGTATTAGCCCCGTCCTTCAACGCCGTCAGGGCGTCTGTCAGGAGATGTGTCCCGTGTGGTCGCTGTATCGGACCATTGTGGTAGAGAGGGACCTGAGCCGGAAGACGAAGCTCTCGATTTACCGGTCAATCTTTGTTCCCTCCCTCACCTATGGTCGAGAGCTTTGGGTAATGAGCTAATACAATACAATACAATTTATTCTTGTATAGGCCTAAACCACAACAGAAGTCATCTCAGAGACTTAACAAAATCATTGAAATCACCAACACAGGTCAGAGAATCAACAGTTAAAACACATAAAGAATATAGAAGACATGTTAAATGTTAAAGTGTCCTGGATCATCACCACAGTCCTTTTTGTTGGAAAACTGTCCAACATACCCTCCTGCATCGGCAAGGAAAAACTCATAAGAAAACCCAATGGGACCGAAAGAACGAGATCGCGGATACACGTGGTCGAAATGAGCTTCCTCCGCAGAGTGACTGGACGCTTCCTTAGAGATAGAGGAGCTCAGCCCAAGGTTTCTCACTTTTTCCCACTGGGTTTTTTAAGAGTTGTTCCTTGTGGATGCAGGAGGGTCTTGTTGGACAGTTAGTGTCCAACAGAAAGGATTGGTGATGATCAGGACACTTTAGCATTCTACAACATGTATGGACATTTTCTTCTGTGTGTGCTTTATATTCTTCATGTGTTTTAACTGTTGATTCTCTGACCTGTGTTGGTGATTTCAATGGTTTCGTTAAGTCTCTGAGATGACTTCTGTTGTGACCTAGGGCTATACAAGAATACATTGTATTGTATTGTATTGTAGCTCAGTCACACGGGAGGAGCTCAGAGTAGAGCTGCTGCTTCTCCACGTTGAGAGGGTCCAGTTGAGGTGGCTCGGGCATCTGTTCCAGAAGTTTGGAACCCCACTTCGTTTTTAATTATTGTCCAGCCTTGATAAACATATAGTTCTTATTCCCCCTGATATCAAGTGGTTGTGAGATTGGATTTTGTCCTCGGCAAATAAAAAACCAGAAATCTTAAGTCCTCCGATCCCAGTTGTCTTCAGAATTTGAGGGTCAGGTATTTTTATTTATTTTCCGTCTCCTAAACATCACTATACTCTACTCTGGTACATTTCCCCGGCAGTATTACAGAGTTCATCTGTAGTGGCTTTTACGTAACGTGCTCGGTGTCCATCTGGCAGTGGCCTTGGTTTGGTTTGGTTCACGTGGAGCCTGAATCATCGCACAGAGGGACTGTGTGTTCTGTGGGAGGTATGAAGACATGTACGGGGAACAAGAGGGTGAGAACACACGCTGTACTACACTGACACATGTCCAGTGGAGGTCCGTGCTGCATGTGTGGCAGTTATAAAACAACAGTAACGCACACAACAATCACACACATTCTCACATATTTACAGCAGGTCTCACAAACAAAGAAGGCAGTGACTCCAAAGCTAATGTCAGAGCAAACCAGAGACGATAGCATCAGGTACCATCAACACTCTACTGTCATGGTGTGGACTTCCTGTTAATTAATCTGGTTTTATTTGGATATATGTTGGTTCTCTTGTTGTGAGTTGTACTTCCTGTCTGTCTTGTTGACATCTACAAACACACTGGTAGTGGACGCAGGACTTATTACATCATACAGAAGATTGGATTCTTAAGGTTTTATGATTGAATGATTGTATTGCATGATGGTCCAAGGATGTGCTTTTTGAAAACAACCTTGATTCAATGCCTCAACGCTCGTTCTCCTCGCGCAGTGATGGCCGTGCTGGGATCTGTAGCAAGCCTTCTCAAAACTACGTCAGTCGTAGCAATTATACTGTAAAATCATAGAGTGCAGTTTCAGCGCTTATACCAAATGGGATTTCATTCGAAGCATATGACGAAGTGCTGTATGCCAGACATTATGATTCATACAGCCCCCTGTAATTCCTTACATATGGCTCGTATAGAAACAGGAATCAGGAAACATGGCCTCTCCGCCGTCTTTATGAAAGAACTCTTGGCTTCCTTCACGGTCGCTCGCTCCTGCCGTCTGCTCATGCACAGGATTAGCACAGGGATGAATGAGAACACGGATGCACTATAGGACACATACGGTGGAGAAATCTATAGGTGAAAGCCAGATCCTGTCAGACCTTGGAAGCTAAGTAGGACAGGGCATGGTTAGTGCTGTGATGGGAGACCTCTGGGGACACCATGTGCCACAGTGGGGCGGCTGCAGCTGTTAAATGTCAGACACAGGGTCAGTTTAATTTTATTTGCCATTTGCAGTAAAACCACATACAAATACATTTGCAAAAGTATATAAATTAACAAGGTTGAAAGTAAATAAATAAAACTATCTAAATAAGGAAACGATTGACACTGTGAAATCGATCATAAAAACAGTTTCATTAAGTGCAAGACACTTCCCCCACATCAGAATGAGTCTGGTGTGTGTGTGAAAAGTGGTGGTGGGAGGGGCCGATGGCACAGACTGGTTGCCTCGCTTCTGTCAGTGTGCCCCAGGGCAGCTGTGGCTACAGTAGTAGTTAATCACTGTGTATGGAGTGAAAGAATAATGCCATATGAAGTGTCTTTGAGTTCAAGTCAATTCAAGGTATTTGCCCTAAGTCACGACAGTAGTTATCTCGGAGGACTTCACAAAGCCGTTGATTAGCAAACACAGATCAGAGAATCAAACAGTTAAACACAAACAGTGCAATAATAAAAAACACATACAGTAGAACTAATGGTCCATAAGAGAAAGATGACCAAAGTCCATAAATGTTGATAAAGTCCATAAATGCTGTTGAATGTCATGTATCCTGGATCATCACCACTATCCTCAGACCCTCCTTGACTGTCCAAAAATCCCTGTATGAAACCAACACATTATTATTATTATAATTATTTTTATATCAGTTGGTCTTTTTTAGAAAATGTATCCATATTACATCCACGCTTACAGTGCCTTGGGAAAGTATTCGGCCCCCATTGAACCTTTCAAAATTTCGCCACATTTCAGGCTTCAAACATAAAGATATAAAATTAAATTTTTTTGTCATTAATCAACAACAAGTGGGACACAATCGTGAAGTGGAACAAAATGTATTGGATAATTTAAACTTTTTTAAGAAATAAAAAACTGAAAAGTGGGGCGTGCAATATTGTTTGGCCCCTTTACTTTCAGTGCAGCAAACTCAGTCCAGAAGTTCAGTGAGGATCTTTGAATGATCCAATGTTGTCCTAAATGATTGATGATGATAAATAGAATGCACCTGTGTGTAATCAAGTCTCCGTATAAATGCACCTGCTCTTTGATAGTCTCAGGGTTCTGTTTAAAGCGCAGAGAGAACCATGAAGACAAAGGAACACACCAGGCAGGTCCGAGATACTGTTGTGGAGAAGTTTAAAGCCGGATTTGGATACAAAAAGATTTCCCAAGCTTTAAACATCTCAAGGAGCACTGTGCAAGCAATTATATTGAAATGGAAGGAGTATCAGACCACTGCAAATCTACCAAGACCCGGCCGTCCCTCCAAACTTTCATCTCAAACAAGGAGAAGACTGATCAGAGATGCAGCCAAGAGGCCCATGATCACTCTGGATGAACTGCAGATAACTACAGCTGAGGTGGGAGAGTCTGTCCATAGGACAACAATCAGTCGTGCACTGCACAAATCTGGCCTTTATGGAAGAGTGGCAAGAAGAAAGCCATTTCTCAAAGATATCCATAAAAAGTCTCGTTTAAAGTTTGCCACAAGCCACCTGGGAGACACACCAAACATGTGGAAGAAGGTGCTCTGGTCAGATGAAACCAAAATGGAACTTTTTGGCTACAATGCAAAACGATATGTTTGGCGTAAAAGCAACACAGCTCATCACCCTGAACACACCATCCCCACTGTCAAACATGGTGGTGGCAGCATCATGCTTTGGGCCTGCTTTTCTTCAGCAGGGACAGGGAAGATGGCTAAAATTGATGGGAAGATGGATGGAGCCAAATACAGGACCATTCTGGAAGAAAACCTGTTGGAGTCTGCAAAAGACCTGAGATTGGGACGGAGATTTATCTTCCAACAGACTCAGAATCATCAGAATCAGAATCAGAATAATTTTTATTGCCACGTAAGTAACAGGAGGTCACAGACTTGGAAATTGCTTTGGCTCAGTGCAACAGTCAGAAAGAGATAGTAAAAATAAGAATAAAAAACACTTCTAAAGAATACATTTAAATTTAAAATAGAGTTACAGTTACTATTTACAATATACAAGTGCACATGGTGCACACAATGTAAGGTGACAGCAGTACAGTGAAGTAAAGTGGCGTATGATGGGCAGTAAAGTGACTTTATAAAGGGTGGGGGGACAGGTTAAGAAGTGTTCAAGAGTCCAACAGCAGAGGGGAAGAAACTGTTCTTGTGGCGGGAGGTTCTAGTCCTGATGGACCGCAGCCTCCTGCCTGAGGGGAGTGGTTGGAATAGTCCATGTGCAGGTGAGAGGGGAGTGGTTGGAATAGTCCATGTGCAGGTGAGAGGGGAGTGGTTGGAATAGTCCATGTGCAGGTGAGAGGGGTCGGCTGTGATACGACCAGCCCGGCCTCGAGCTCGGGCGACGTACAGGTCCTGCAGCGATGGAAGGCTGCGGCCGATCACTTCCTCTGCAGAGCGCACAATGCACTGTAGTCTCTGTTTGTCCCTGACTGTGGCTCCAGAACCACACGGTGATGGAGGAGGTGAAGGAGGAGGTGATGGAGGAGGTGATGGAGGAGGTGAAGGAGGAGGTGATGAGGAGGTGATGGAGGAGGGGAGGATGGACTCGATGATGGCCGTGTAGAACTGCACCAACATCTGTGCAGGCAGCTTGGCTTTCCTGAGCTGCCGCAGGAAGTACATCCTCTGCTGCGCCTTCTTGATGAGGGAGCTGATGGTCGGCTCCCACTTGAGGTGGGGGCGGGGGGACAGTGCTCTTCCTGAAGTCCACAATCATCTCCACTGTCTTCTGGGCGTTCAGCTCCAGGTTGTTACCACTGCACCAGGACACCAGCCGGTCCACCTCCCTCCTGTAGGCGGACTCATCGTTGTTGGAGATGAGTCCAATGAGGGTGGTGTCGTCCGCGAACTTGATCAGCTTCACGGAGTCGTGGCTGGAGGTGCAGTGGTTGGTGTACAGGGAGAAGAGCAGGGGAGAAAGAACACAGCCCTGTGGGACTCCTGTATTTATAATCCGAGAGTCCGAGACATTCTTCCCCAGACGCACTCGCTGCTTCCTGTCCGTCAGGAAGTCAGTGATCCACCTGCAGGTGGAATCGGGCACGTTGAGCTGGGAGAGCTTGTCCTGGAGCAGGGATGGCAGGATTGTGTTGAAGGCAGAGCTGAAGTCCACGAACAGGACCCTGGCGTAGGTCCCCGGGGAGTCCAGGTGCTGTAGGATGTGGTGGAGGGCCAGGTTAATGGCGTCGTCTACAGATCTGTTGGCTCTGTAGGCGAACTGCAGGGGGTCCAGGAGGGGGGAGGTGAGGGACTTGAGATGGGAGAGAACCAGGCGTTCAAATGACTTCATGACGACAGACGTAAGTGCTACAGGTCTGTAGTCGTTGAGTCCTGTGATCCTGGGCTTCTTCGGGACGGGGACAATGATGGAGGATTTGAAGCAGGCCGGGACATGGCAGGACTGCAGAGAGGTGTTGAAAATGTCCGTGAACACAGGAGTAAGCTCACTGGGGCAGTGTCTCAGAGTGGCCGGAGACACGTGGTCCGGGCCAGGAGCTTTGCGGGGGTGCAGCCTCAAGAAGAGTTGTTTAGTCTCTTTAGCGGCTATTGTTAGGCTGGGGGCAGGGCTGATGGGTGGGTCGTTAGAGTAGTGGGGGGTGGGGGAGGGAGAGGTGTCAGGGGCAGCATCAAAGCGACTGAAAAATAAGTTCAGATCGTCAGCTAGCTTGTGGTCGTCAGCACAGGGGGGGGCTTTGGGTTTGTAGTTGGTGATCTCCCGTAGGCCCCTCCAGACAGAAGCAGTATCGTTGTTACCAAACTGCTCCTGTAGTCGTTCTCTGTGCCGGGACTTGGCTGCTTTCAGTTCTTTCCTGAACTGATATTTAGCTGCTTTGTAGCCGCTGCGGTCCCCCTCCCTGAAAGCAGACTCCTTTGCTTTTCTGAGCTGCCGGAGTTTAGTAGTGAACCAGGGTTTGTCATTGTTATAGATGACCCTGGTCCTTGTTGGAATGATGCTATCCTCACAGAAGTGAATGTATGACGTCACAGTGTCCGTGTATTCATCCAAACTATCTGTGGCAGCTCTGAAAAGGTCCCAGTCTGTAGATTCCATGCATGCAGCTCTTCCACAGCTTCATCAGACCACACTTTGGAGCTCCTCACTGCAGGTTTCGAGAGCTTTAGTCTCTGTCTGTAAGCAGGAACCAGATATATCATGGAGTGATCTGAGAAGCCGAGGGCTGGCTTGGGAACAGCGCGAAAAGCTCAGCGCACGGTGGTGTAACAGTGATCCAGAGTGTTCTCCTCTCTGGTCGGGCATTTGATAAACTGTCTGTATTTGGGTAATTCCTGGCTCAAGTTTCCCTTATTAAAATCCCCCAGGATAATAATCAGAGAGTCCGGGTATAAGCGTTCCATACACAGTACCTCGCGCGCGCCCGCGCATGGCGGTATGTAAACAGAGGCAAGAATGAATGAAACATTTTCGCGCTGGGAGTAAAATGGTTTACAATGAATGAAAAGATATTCCAGAGCAGGAGAGCAGTGCTTGGAGATCACTGTCACATGGTTACACCAGTTTGTATAGACGTAGAAACACAGCCCACCGCCTCTGCTCTTCCCTGAGAGCGCACAATGGCGATCCGTGTGGAACAGCCCAAAGCCCTGCAGCTCCAGAGCGCAGTCCGGGATCCGCTCATTTAGCCAGGTCTCAGTGAAGCAGAGGACACAGGATGAAGTCCTTGTTTCTTCTCATGAGCAGGCTGAGTTCGTCTTATTGCCCAGTGAGCGTACGTTGGACAGAAAAATGCCGGGGAGAGGCTCCTCTCCTCCTCAGACGCACGAGCAGCCTCCACGCTTTCCCCTTTTACGGGCCCACACTTTTTTGGCTAGAACATGGACTAAATCAGCCGCAGATGCCAAGAAAACAGGCAATAGGTCCATGGGAACGGTGGGTCGGATGTTCATAAGTTCCTCACGGGTGTAGGAACAGCCAGATGCACAGTTAAAAAGTAAAAACAAAAGAAAAAGAGAGCAGCAAAGAGCCATGTCGACCGTACGAGGCGCCATCTTTGAGAACAGGACAATGATCCAAAACATAAAGCCAAATCTACAATGGAATGGTTCACAAATAGACGTATCCAGGTGTTAGAATGGCCAAGTCAAAGTCCAGACCTGAATCCAATCGAGAATCTGTGGAAAGAGCTGAAGACTGCTGTTCACAAACGCTCTCCATCAAACCTCACTGAGCTCCAGCTGTTTTGCAAGGAAGAATGGGCAAAAATTCCAGTCTCTTGATGTGCAAAAGTAAGTAAGTAAGTAAGTAAGTAAACTTTATTTATATAGCGCCCCTCACAGACCAGGGTCACAAAGCGCTTCACATAGTATAAAAACAGACATATAAATTAGACATACAAATTTTTAAAGGCCAAGACAACCATGTAAAAGAATACATCAAGACAAACTTACGCAAAAGCCTGAACAAATAAATGGGTTTTAAGTTGACTTTTGAAGCACTCTACAGACTCTATAGAACGCAGAGAGAGCGGGAGAACGTTCCAAAGCTTGGGAGCAACAGGAAGGACCTGTCTCCTCTGGTCTTGAAGCGAGTGCGTGGAACCATCAGGAGGTTCTGATCCACAGACCTCAGAGCCCTGGCTGGGGTGTAAGGCTGGATCAGGTCACTGATGTAAGACGGGGCCTGACCGTGCAAAGCTCTGAAGGTTAAAACCAGAATTTTAAAATGTATCCTGTAGGACACTGGCAGCCAATGAAGAGCTTTCAGGACAGGGGTGATGTGCGACCTCCTGCTTGTGCGGGTCAGGATTCTCGCTGCAGAGTTCTGCACTAACTGCAGGCGAGACAGTTCTTTCTTGTTTAAACATGAAAACAGAGCATTACAATAGTCTAAACGCGAAGACACAAATGCATGAATGATTACCTCCAAATCATTCTGTGAAACCATTTTCCTGACTTTGGAGATTCTCCTCAGCTGAAAAAAGCAGTTCCTGGTCAGCTGTTTACAGTGCTGCACTAACGACATGTCCTTATCAAAAATAACACCTACGTTTCTGAGGCTCAGTTTAACTGACTGGCCTAAGTCACCTAAGCACTGGTTTATCCCTGGGATGTGGTCATCAGGGGCAATCACCAGAGTTTCTATTTTGTCAGCGTTGAGCTGCAAAGAGTTGTCACTCAGCCATTGTTTTATCTCGACCAAGCAATGGACCAAGGAGTTTAGCCTCTGGAGCTCGGTAGGCTTGAAAGAGCAGTATAGCTGGATGTCATCAGCAAAAATGTGGAATGAGATGCCAGGAAATCTCCGGACAATCTTTCCCAAGGGGGTCAAATACAACAGGAAAAGTAGCGGACCCAAAACGGAACCTTGGGGGACACCACACAACAAATCTGCTGACTCAGAACATATCTGGTTTGCTGCGACACTAAAACTGCGTCCAGATAAGTACGAAGCAAACCATTTAAGCACTGACCCCGACAGTCCCACTCCATCCCTCAGTCTTCGCAGGAGGATCTGGTGGTCGACGGTGTCGAACGCCGCGGACAGATCCAGAAGAACCAGAACAGTGCACTCTCCAGAATCTGCCGCCATCATAATATCACTGGACACTTTCAGTAAGGCCGTCTCCGTGGAATGGTGTCGGCGAAAACCAGACTGAAATGTCTCATGGATGTCATTTTGATCCAGAAAAGCTGAGAGCTGCTCAGACACTACCTTCTCTAGGATCTTAGACAAGAGTGGAAGTTTAGAGATCGGCCTAAAATTATTTAGATCAGTTGGATCTAAGCCTGTCTTCTTTAGTAACGGCTCCACTGTGGCATGTTTAAATTCTTTAGGAAACACGCCTGTAGAAAGGGAGAGGTTAATCATTTTGATAACCCAGGGGCCAATTACATCAAACACTTTCACAAAGAGTTTTGATGGAATGATGTCAGATGGACAAGAGGAGGGTTTCATCTTGGTCACCAGTGCAGAGATATCAGCAAGCGTCACTGACTTGAAAGAGGACCACAGGCTGGAGACCGGCTCAGTAACAGCAGGAGCACCACTCAAAACGGGAGGGATATTTTCTTTGATCCGCTTAATTTTGTCCATAAAAAACCTCAAAAATGCGTTGCTGTCAGCTTCACAAGTGACAGGGGCAGTTGGGACAGCCGGACAAACAAGAGAATTTATCGTGTCAAACAGAACTTTGGGGTTTTTCTTGTTTACAGTTACCAGTTGACGAATAAAGTCAGATCTGGCATTTTCAGCCATTTCATTGTATGAGGCCATAAGGTCTCTGAGATGGAGTCTGTGCACCTCCAGGTTGGTTGATTTCCACAAACGTTCAGTCCTGCGACATAGCCTCTTTAGACTTAGAGTATTTTCATTTGTCCAAGGGCAGGCTTTTTCCTGTGTTGACAAACTAATTTTAATAGGGGCCACACAGTTCAAGATACTAGTACAATGATTACTAAACGAATGCACGAAGTTGTCCACATCGAGGCAGTCCGTAAACAACAGAGGATCAAACATGGAGGAAAAATTTTCTGCAGTATTAGCGGATACAATACGCCTCTGAGACCTAACTATAGCTGGCTTAGGCTCAGGGCTGAAGTGCAGATCAAATGAAACAAGATAATGATCACTCAAATGTACATCGTTTACAGACACCTGTGAAATGTCAAGGCCAAGCGTAAAAACAAGATCTAAAATGTGACCTTTTTGGTGCGTGGGCACAGAAACATGCTGCTCAAAGTTAAAAGCCTCAGTCAAAGTTAAAAGTTCCATTGCAGAGCAACATGAGCAGTCATCAATGTGAAGATTAAAATCTCCAACGATTAAAACCGATTCCAAATTTATAATGGAGGATAAAAACTCACTAAAATCCTTCAGAAATGTAGCAGCAGGGCCAGGGGGGCGGTAGACTGACACGCAGTAAAATGGGTTTAAAGAACCCACCTTTACCATCTGGCACTCAAATGAAGGAGATTCCTGGGTCTGTGACACTTTGCATGTGCAACTGTCCTTGTAGACAACAGCCAGGCCTCCTCCACGACGAGAAGGGCGGGGCTTCCCCACGACAGAGCAGCCAGGGGGACAGAGTTCATTTAAATGAATAAACTCATCCACTTTCTGCCATGTCTCACATAGACACAAAACATCCACATTTGCTCTTTCACAAAGCTCATTCAAAGAGAAGGATTTGTTTGTAATAGACCTTGTGTTCAACAGGCCGATATGCAACGAAGGTGACGTCACAGGTGAAGTTTCCGCGGGGTGCAGCGTGATTGGACGAAGGCATGTCCAGCGGTCACGTGCAGGGAAAGCCGGTGTAAACACGGAAGCGCGTGGACACGATGGGAGCCAGTACTGACCACTGCTCCAGCGCTGAGAAGGCTCCAGGACACCCACTGCGGTCCGTGCGGGCAGCGGCCTGGATGCGGCGTCACACAGGAGAGGAATCCAGCGTAAGCGCCGCGCACGTTCTCCGTGGCCGAGGAAGGCAGAGCCCCGGCGGGCAGCAGCGCGTCTTCGTCGGACCTGGACTCCAGAACGCGAGCCTGAAAACTGATAGAGACATACCCCAAGCGACTTGCAGCTGTAATTGCAGCAAAAGGTGGCGCTACAAAGTATTGGCGCAAGGGGCCGAATAATATTACACGCCCCACTTTTCAGTTTTTTATTTGTTAAAAAAGTATAAATTATCCAATAAATTTCGTTCCACTTGACGATTGTATCCCACTTGGTGATTCTTGACAAAAAATTTAATTTTTATATCTTTATGTTTGAAGCCTGAAATGTGGCGAAATGTTGAAAGGTTCAAGGGGGCCGAATACTTTCGCAAGGCACTGTACATCAAGAACCAATGGCCCACATCTGTCCCCAGTCTCCTGCCTCTGTTCGGGGGATCTATCTGCAAAACCTTAACAGCTAAAACATGGTCGTCAGCCGTGAGTCAATATTGCATGTTTAAGTTCCCTGGACAAAGGTTCCTCTGCACTTTTAAAACAATTAATTTGCCGTGAACGTGTCCAGAAATACCCAGTGGTGAGTGGACAGGCCACAGGAGTAAAGAGACCAGTGCCCTCCTGCGATCCCCATTATGAAGACACTGCTCTTAATCAGTGGTGGGTTAAGTGTGGCGCAGCTCAGGAGACGCAGTCCACTCTTGTCTTTGATTTAGTGTAGGGGCACTTGATTTATACGCCCAGACACTCCACTGCCGCTCGAGTGGGAATAGCACCAGGAAAGACCCATAAATCTGGATTCAAACCTTGACAGGGACCAGGGCGACCCCCAGCAGACATCGCAGCATGTATGGATGTTGTTTACCTATTTGAGTTTGGTTACACAATTCATCCGAGGTTACAGAGGCACTGTTGTGTGTTGTCTTTATATAAAGAAAAGAAAGATTGAGGTGTTTTTACCGATCCAGGGGCTACGCTGCAGATGCCAAGTACAATAGTGTGTGCAATGTTAGTAGGTCCATTTAGGTCCATGTTCATGATGAGACCCTGGAAAATATTCCACAGAGTTTTCTACATTTTGACCTAATTCAAATTGATAATAGAAATGCAGTTTCCTGACTTTCCCAGTCTCACATTTAGGCTTTCATTGCTGATATTGCAGCTAAACAACTAGTAATCTATTCATTTTCTTATTGTTTTGTCTTTCCAAAAATGCACTGCAGAATCCATCCATTTTATTCCACTTCATCCCTGCTGTCGCCAGAGCAGTCTATAAAGAGAGACGCCCAGATGTACCTCTCCACACACACTTCCTTCATCCGGGATTCATCCAGGGGAAACCTTTCGGTCATTACCCAAGGGGTAATGACCGAAAGGGGACGAAGGTTGACCAGTAAATCGAGAGTTTTGCCTTTCGGCTCAGCTCCCTCTTTACCACAGTTGTTCACAGCTCTGACTGCAGACGCTGCTCCCTCTTCACCACAATGGAACTAATAGCCACCACATCACTGCACCGATCTGCCTGTCCATCTCTGCTCCACCCAGAGGTTACTCCACCTCTGCTGCCATGACCTGTCCTGCTCCACCCAGAGGATACTCCACCTCTGCTGCCATGACCTGTCCTGCTCCACCCAGAGGTTACTCCACCTCTGCTGCCATGACCTGTCCTGCTCCACCCAGAGGATACTCCACCTCTGCTGCCATGACCTGTCCTGCTCCACCCAGAGGATACTCCACCTCTGCTGCTGTGTCCTGAAGTTCTGTAGCTTATTATTACTATTGTTTGCTTTTTAGAATGATCAATTTATTTGTTTTGTTTGAGTGGATGGATGTGTTTCTGCCGCTACTGAATTTCATCAATAAAGTATCTATCGATCTAAACTCACGCTCCATCCTTCCCCCACTGTGAACAAGAGCCAAACCACAGCATTGTCCATATGTAAATAAAGGGAGCGTATGTAACATGCTTAATCTTAGTGACCCAAAAGAAATCTACGCTGACACAGAGAGAACATGCACACTCCTGGTCCCGCCTGGCCCGTCTGGCACCAACATCTGTGCAGGCAGCTTGGCTTTCCTGAGCTGCCGCAGGAAGTACATCCTCTGCTGGGCCTTCTTGATGAGGAAGCTGATGGTCGGCTCCCACTTGAGGTCCTGGGTGATGGTGGTGCCCAGGAAACGGAAGGACTCCACAGAGGTGATGGGGGAGTCCATCACGGAGGGTGGGGGTGGGGGGACAGTGCTCTTCCTGAAGTCCACAATCATCTATATAAATACATATGTGCCTGTGACACCTGAAAACCAAGAAAAGACAAACAATGAATGAACCCTGAACCTCATGTACATTCTCAGTTCGATGCTGCAATGCAAAGTGTAGAGATGCATTTGATACATATTGAAATGTGTAACTATTCAACACATGTTGAAACTAGGGTAAACATTGTTGCTTGATTGTATATTTATGTATCTATATTTATGATTATGATGTATTCGCCAGTGTAAGTATATACTGTAAGCACAGAAGGACACCTGTACAAAACGTCATGCTAACTAAAGGATGTAAATAAATCCATCGATCAATCTTCCAAAAGCTAAAAGACAAATACTTGAAAGATTAAAAGGCAACTTGCTTCGGCAGCTCAGGAAGAGAAGCCGACAGCCAAATGAGGGCCAAGAAGGCCGAGCACTGCACTCTGTGATTTCAACTGTTCCTCTTACAATCCCTGCAATCTGGCCTGTCAAAAGTCTTCAAGAACAAGTAAAAAACAAAAAAATAGCTGCCCACTAGTTACAAAGTTAGACAAAGGAAACAGACCTTACTTGGGCATGATTCTGTGCAAATACACGGCGGTTGGTGCAGGGTCTGACGAAAGGACAGAGATGGCTAAAAGCAAACAATGCGGAGTAAGACTTATAAAGGTTGGCAGATAGTGGTAATGGTTTGTGGCACACCTCGAAGTGAGTGTCAGGAAGCATTGAGTCAGTGGATTACTATTGTGGAGCTACAAGAAAGAAGAGTACCGCTCTGCAAAGACTTGGGAGATTTAAGAGGGGGTAAAGTGTGTGCTCTTCCGAATCTACTTCATAAAACTTTGAACTTTTTTGTTTACGCAATCAATTTCTCATTTGGTGTTGTGATATGCAGCTGAGGAGAGTGCTGTGTGCATAACCTTGTTCTAAAAAGCATTTGAAGCCTACTATTGTGCGATAAAGAATGTATAGTTTTATCAGGGCTGTCATTTTAAAGTGCAATTATCGAGTTGAGACAAATTATTATATCTGTAAAAGCTGAACTTACAAAGTTGTTGATTCGCTAAGAAAATAATCGAATACAGGAAATATACTAATAGCAAACACATAGGGAGTGGGATGACCAATGTCCTTAAATGTCCCAGATCAACATCCTGCGTCAGCAAAGAACAACTACAAACTAAACAAATTTAAAACAACTTTCAGAAACCTTAGGGAGGATCATATAGGGGGGGAATCTTGAGGTCTCCCATCACAGTACTGACCAGGCCCTGCTCTGCTTAGCTTTAGAGGTCTGATAGGCTCTGGCTTTCACATGCAGATAAAGTTCAGTCCATTTCCAAATTGTGAAAATTTTGAATCAATGTTTGTCATTTTTCTGCACTAGTTAGACCTGCCCCCAGAAGTTCCTGATTGGACACAAAGAATGATTGACAGACAGTTGAGGCGCCTCCCCATTGGTCTCTTCCAGGGAATCTTACTTGTGATTCTTGTCCCAAGAGTAGAAAGAGTTCTAAATATATTGTCAAAATTGAAAGACAATAGTCGGGATGTTTGCGCAAATTATATGTAATTGTAAAAAAACATACAACAGATGATAATACAGTGTCAGGAAATCAAAAATGGGGAATTTAAAAATTATACTGAATAGTTTATGTGAGAAAAGATTTTAGCCCAAACACAAGTCATTGTTTTGATGGGTGATTGGCAAAATTCACATTATTTATTTATTTTAATTGAGGACAGCACATATATATCAATGCACCTACTTTACCTAACATTTAAAGGAGTCCGGTACACATACGTAACTATGGGACCTACTGTAAGTATCTATAAAGGAATCTAACTGGGATTATAAATCAATTGAATTTAAGAATGAATCTAATGATGAATTAAGATATCTGGGACAAAGTTCAAAGCTAGTAAATCTGTTCAAACTAACTAAACTGTTGTTCTGTAGGGACGCGAGGCCAGTGACGGGGTGGAGGCAGATACTAGCTTGATATCAGGGGCAAGAAGAGCGGGCTCACCGGTCAGGCTGACCATTCTAATATCAGAGTAATATCAGAGTCTATCAGAGTAAGACGTCAGAAGAGAGGGGGGTTTGGGCGACGGGTACCACTTAATCTGGGACTCAGAGACGCCATAGACTCTTCTGTTTTTTCTATCCTATAAATATGAGAGAGAGTGAGCACTATTCTGCCACGCGTTACACGAAATTCCACGCGTTACACGAAATTCCACAACAGTATCTATAAAGGAATCCTGAACACATACGTAACTATGGGACCTAAGTATCTATGTAGGACTCCTAAAAAATTGGTTGAAATCAAACCGGTCTTGCTCCCAAATACAACCCTTGATACATCCAAGTTTTAAAACTAGATCTTGAATCCCTGCCACCCCCCATGAAGCTTTGTTTGTCTGATCTGTAAATCCTCATTGACCCAGTGCACGTACAGTTAATTGAGAAAAAAAAAAACCTGGCATCCACCACCGCACAACACCCATTCTTCTTATGTTTGTGTTGCCGCCTCTACAACATACTTTTCTGGCGTACTGTGCAGAATAATCAGGTTAACTTTGATGTCCCTCCTTCCATCCCATTAGAGTATCCTTCTCATCTCGGCGGTCTCCTGAGCTAACCCTTGATGAGCCCTCAGTGTAGCGGCGCAGGTATTGGATCGGCCATGAATAATCCATGTTTCGCGTGCGTCGTCCTTGAAGCGCGTGCCAACGGCTCCGGTCTCTATGGCTTTTTTATTTTCTTTTTCTTCTTCGTTCGTCTCCACCCGTTTTTCAGAACATACTTCAAAGTGAGACTTATTATCACTTGGCAATCTCAGTCTGTGTTTCTGTGGGAACACTCAGGATGGGAAACTGTGGGTTGATTACACGACTGAAAACTTGAACGAGCAATGAGTTTAAGTCAAGATGATCCTGGTTTTCACCAACCATCGCTGGAAGATTTTACACTGCAGAAAGTGATACAATATGAGGTCATAATTGCTTGAATAGGGTCTTTTTTAGCTTAATTTGGGCATATTCTGACTGTCATTAAACAAGATTCTCCAATAGGACAAGGGCATTTAGTATTATTTCACAAATTGTTGCTTTATTTCATGATTCCAAAGAAGATATTTCTTGTATCTTTTTAAAACAAGCTCATTTTAATATTGTCTCATTGGTAAATCTTGTTTTAAGGAAGTCAGAATGTGCTCCAATTAAGTTATGTTTTGGCCAATTTGAGATTTTTGAGAACCTACTTTCATTACTTTTTGCAGTGTGTCTATGGTGTATGTTTTGGGAACTGGACCTGGAGCGCCCAGAGGAAACCTACTCAGACATGTGGAAAAACATGCAACACATTGAATTTAATGTTTTTGTACCGAGGCCGAGAATCTTAATCCTGGTTATTCAATACTCAATACTGATGTTGATTACACACAATAACAATGAAATAAATCTTTAACGTTTTTCAACCTTACCACAAGATTGTCAGGCTACTCCTCATACACAAGGCCCTTTTGAATTCCCATAATGCTTTGCGGCAGAGGCAGACGCATGATCTTGATTTTATGTTTATGACTGAAACATG